ACTATACATTCCTGAGAGGGTGCTTGGCAACCGGAAGCACCAACAAGAACAACGGTGCTGCACGTACAGCTGGCAGAGCTATACAGGGTGGCAGATGTCTTTCTCAAATGTCGCCGTTGAACGTCATCGACATTGGGAAAGTGTTTTCCTCTCCTACGTGGATCCTAAAGATCATCTACGTGGACGGCGAGGAGAATACCGACGTGGACATTGCCAACATCCAGGAAAATCTCGGATCCATCGAGCGCAACTGTTTATAAATGTTTAATAAATAGTGAGTCTCGCGCTAACCTTTACAATTAGATGTCAATCGGTGAGAAACGATCTCAAACAGCAAGTGGTGTATAGCCTGTAAGAAAATTTGTTCAATAAATAAACTTTGAAAACATTACAGACTGGATGTAACGTGTATTTTTATTGTACATCGAAAGAAATAAAAAGAATTACCATTTAGAGGAAATAAATTAACAAAAATTATATTATATTTTGGAAGGTTGTAATTATTGAAAGTAGAACCTCTCATAATGGCGCACAAAGTGCAACGTATACCGGACGAGGTAGAGCTTGAGACGATAGCTCTAGCTGAACTTTCAAGATTGAAAAGGCAGTATAGGATAATGGAAAATGATCGAGACGCTTGTTCAAAGGATGCGAGATTACAACTGCACAATCAAAGGAACATGATTGATCGTTTGGAGTACGAAAAAGCGGAGCTTGTTATTCGTATTAAAACTGCAACCTCGAAGACGTTTGCTCGTAAAGATAAAGAAATGGAGGAAAAACTAAAGTGTACTTTAACGATGCAAACGAAATATGACGAAATGATAAGGACAGAGAAACAGGAAATAGCAGAGCTCGATAATGAAATTTGCAAGGTTTATCAATTATTCACCTTGATTTCAAGCATTAATGTTTCACAATAAAAGAATATTATTAATGCTTTGTTTCCAGTTATCAAAAGAAATTGCCACTCTGAAGACGAAAATCACGAGCGACATCCAACTGAGGGATATAGCTTTACGACAAGATAAAATGATTCATATATTGGAAAATCGACTTGAAGTGGCAACGAAACGATTTAATATTGCAGTCGCACAAAATACGAAACTTCGAAACGAGATCGAAGACATGCTGAAGGAAAGGACGCAGTTCACAGCGCTTTGGAATAAATTAATTAATCAGTTAAACACTGGAAAGCAAATTATCAATGATTTAATAGAGCAAGCTACCATCGCGTTCAATCAACGAGATGAAGAATTGAACAAGATTCAAGCTCTTCGTGAAAGGTGGATTCTTAAGGAATCTTTTATCTTAAATATTAGCATAAAATGAACCTACATAGAAACGTACTTAGTACTGTTGCCATAAGTTTCACGACACTCTTAGCAACAACAAGTTTAGTTGCGAAAGTTGAAAAGATTGGATCGTTGTCCTCATAACTCTAAGACTTACACTAATGACCTGAAAGTTATTTCACGTAGGATGAATTATCTATCGTTGAATTAGAAACTCGGAACCAAGAGTAAACGATCGGAAATCAATGGCGCGTAATAACATCCTGCGATCTTGCTTCTATGTCGGTTATCCAATATTTTATTTGTCGGATCATTAATTGACTTGCACTTTCCTTGCTCCCGAATAAACGATCTTTCGCACAAAATTAAAATATTTTTTTCTTTACAGGGGATTAAGAGACCTAAAAACACACGTCTCAGAAATGTGCGAATTACAAAGGACGATGGATAATGAAATGAAGTTGCAAGAATTCCTTGGCGTGAAAGGACAATATCGTGAAATGGCTGATCTGAATGCAAAACGTGCAGCCGAGAGGAAAGCTAAAATAGAAGAAAAGCAAAATATGATTGAGGATTATAAACATATTTTACAAATGATTAAAGAATTCACTGGTGCTTTTCATATCTTTTATATGTATCGCGATACAGAATATATTAACATCAAAATCCAAAAGTAATCAATTTTTTTTTTTACAATAAATCTTCATTTTTGTAGGTGAACAAGATATTGACAAACTCATAGCACACTTTATCAAACAAGAGGAAGAAAACTTTGCTTTGTTCAGTTATGTGAATGAATTGAACGATGAACTAGAGAGTCTCCAATCAAGAATGGATCAGTTGACAAGGGCTATACAAGATGCACATATTATGAATGAACTTACTAATCGAGAACAAGCAGAAACATTAGAGAAACTCAAAAGAGAGCTTGAAGATCAAACCGCTCTGGCTGACGCAGCTGAAGAAAATCTGATACAGGTTACAATTTCTTACTAATCTTATCCAATATTAAAAATCCGACTACCGGAAATCAAATAACGAAATTGAATTTCCTCAAAATTAAGTGTTTCTGTTTAATTCCGTTCTACTATTCATTTCAGTGTGATGACGTAATAGAGAAATTATTAAAAGGAATAGATTCTCTCTTTAAAGCGATTCGTTGTGACAATTCTCCGATTTTACAACTATTAGGTGATCATGAACAGATAACAACGAGCAATGTTATGTTATATTTAGGAATCATTGAAAAACGTATTACGCAAATGTTCCACAAAGTATATTGGTTAGACAAAGCTACCAGAACGCAACAACTACGACTGGATGAAGAAAGAAAACCCAGATTAAAAGTACCCCAAGTTGAACAAATCGCCTCTACCCAACCTTGTGCCTTGTAAGTCCTTTGATTCCTACTCTTTACACAATTCCTTTGTTATTCCTCCCATCCTCGAATATTTTTTTATTTTTTAATGTTCCTTTAACTTTTCTTAATATAATGTTTATAACGAATATTTGTTGAGACAACCATTGAATCAATACAGATGTGTTGAAAAAGAAAAATTACAAATCGTATCCGAAGGTTTGGAACAGCCATTGACGCGCGATGAAGCTACTAAAAAGTTGAAGCAAAGACTCGAAGAAGATTACTCGGAACTCCTACATAATATATCTGGTTGCCATTTACCAGCAGCTAGAAAAATCATACAAAAACGATATCAATAAAATGGTAATAGAAAGCCCGTAAATTGGATACACAATCATTAACATTTACGAAGTATGTACAAGATAATTGGCTGCATCCCCGATATAATAATGCAACTCTCAAAACTGATCTCCCATAAATTTTCATCTATTCCTTTAGTAACAGTAGTAAGATACTTATCAGTATATATATATTTTTTTTTATTTCTCTAGAATATTTATTTACAAGTAGCTGGACAAGTAATTTCAAGTAAAATGATTCTCTTACTTTGTCGCGTGTTTTTTTGCAACTTTTATGACTCGTTTTAACTCAAGGATGGTTCGCTTAATATAGTCTAGCTGTTGTTCGACATCGTCTTTGCTTACGGTCACGGGAATATCCTTTCTTTTGCAGATCTGTTGATATAGATTCCAGCAACACGTTTTTACTTGCGTGTGCTCTAAATTCTTCTCCGCCGCAGTTACTTTTATTTCAGCTACGATTGTTTCCCATTTACGAGCTTGTACTTCCGCCTTATCGCGTCTTGCTTGTAGTTGCGCTAATTTGTTATTCAATGTCATAATTTTTTGCGACTTTGACTCTGTCATGTGATGCTGTAGAGAAAGAGATACGCATCCATTCCATTATATAATTATAAATGAATGACTAATAAATTATATATTAAGAAAGCTGTTTACCATTTCTGTCCCCTTCTCCTCTAACAACTCAAGGTTTTTATCCTGATGTTCGGACAAGATTGATCGTGCTTCGATTAAAGTTTCGTAACGATTGAAAATCTCAGAAATCGAATGAAATTCTCCTGTTTCGATAATGACCCTGTCTAAATAATCTTGATACTTTTTATACTCTGCCACATGTTTTTTCATCCTATCTCGGATGTCATTCATATAGCGTAATTTTTCTTCGAGTTCGTTTATCTGAAAAATATATTTTCCGCTAAATAGACAGGATTAGATTTGCAGTATTATGTAAATAATCCTTTTATCAAAAGAATTTATAAAATTCTTTTATTATTTTGTGACATATTACTTCTTCTAGCCTACGTGTTTGACGCTCGCGTTCTTCTTTAATTTTGGTATCCGCACGATCACGTTTTTCTTGATTTTCCCTCACGAATCTATTGAACTTTATAAATGATTCTCGGAGGACCAATTCCTGACGTCTCATCTCGTTCCATTGCTCGTCCATGAATTTCCGCTTTTTTTCTTGCTCGGCCCATTTTGCACGTAATCTCTCCTCAGTTTTTGCTAACTCACAATGCGCTCTAACAACTTCTAATGCCGGGTAAACTCTTGGCTTATCCCATTCTGGATACTTTCTAATACATAAAAGACACAACTCACATATCTTTGGAAATGTTAGCTTCTTTTTAAGTTATGTAAAGGAAAAAAGCATAAAAATAAGATACTTTGACAACCTTTTTCATAGAATTTTACATCAGTTTCCTAATTGTTATCGAACTGAAAATAAAATAATTCAAAAAATATATTTGTAATATATCATAAATTGATTATATGAAATAGTTTCTTTGTTACGTTACTTAATGTTACGATCTTGTTGCTTCGACAGGAAGTATTCTGTAACAGCTTCTTGAGAGTTTGTTGTGATAGTAGCTCGTTGAACAAAATTTTTTATTTCTTCTTGTACGGTAGCCATTTTAATTTAACATAAAATAATATGTTAATAAAAATTAATATTTTAATACGATATTCGTTAAATTTTTAATCGAAACGATGTTAATTGTATGTATGATCCATTGATCAAACAATTTAAAATACAGGTTTGTTTCTTTTCTAGCAAAAAATCCCTATTTTTTATATAGCACATCTTGATGATTGGACACAACTTCAATGACAGGTAAACACAATTAGAAAAATTATATCTAAAATAATTAAATGTATTTTATTTATTTTACATTTTTACAGGGAATCAATAACAGCAATATGAAAAATTACTGTACGCTATAAGAAAGTAGGACATAAGTATTTTTTGGGTATTTATTGTATAATATGCAAATTATGAGTGAACTTCCTGTCCCAAGAGTGAGAGTTGTTTTAGTAATTGTTTTGCATTAATAAATGTTGTAGAACCATATGTGATTCGTTTATTAACCCCAGCCCCACTTTTTTGTTTTACATAGTCCACTAAGTTTTGATATTCTATGTAATTTCCACCACCAACTATAAAAACAATTACATCTTGGAATGTAGGTCTATTCTTTGGCATTTGTTCTGTATGTTTTAGTTGTTTTGGATCTAAATAACAATAATCATCAGTTTGGGATGATTGTCTTGATTCCATTAATTCATCAACTATTTTTGTGACTGGTAAGTTATGTTTCTTAACTACTAAATTTTTTACCCCTTCCATTACAAAAGATGATCCTTGATTCATTAGTTTTGAAAACATACTAACTGTTTTAGTTCCACCACCTTCATAACTGTTTTGGATTTCTGCTATTCTAGTGTAACTTCTTAATCGTTTTATGTATATAAGAGGATTTAAGTCACATCCTGCAGCAGATAATGCTGCTTCAAGTTTGCTATATTCACTGTCTGACATATTTGTACAAATATAATATATAATAGCAAGACGTAATTTATCTTCTGGAGTACCACAATCTGGATCACTTATTGTTTCTAATACACTTCTATCCAATGTTTGTTTGCTCATTATTTTTTCTTCTAATTCAAAAAATGTATCAAGTCTTCTAGACTTTATAAAATTCAAAATACCTGTTGCAATTGACGTATGCATATCTATTAATCGTTTCATTTCCAAAAGTTGTGGTAAATTATTAACAGCATTTGTCAAACGAGCTGTATTATTGGAAACCATTGATAATGCCACTTCACTGTCATTATCAATACCCATAGATGATTTAAGCTTTTTAACATCATCTTCAAAAGTACGATACTGTTCTAATTCTTCCTGTATAGCTTCAGCTACTCTAGGGAATGGACTGCCTTTATGTTGGCACCAAAATCTATCTCTATTATCTAGCTCATAAGCTCTAGTCTTCGAACGTGTTCCTCCTGCAGGAGACCTTCCCACATTTTCTTCGACAACAAGTCTATTCAGTGCCATTTCTAATACATCATGTGCCAATGCTTGATAGGTCCATGTATGATGTAATGGTGTAGCCATGTCTACATTACGGTCCAATATAATTAAAAGTGGTCTTTGAAAACTATAATGGCCAGTTGTTTCGCTTTCAAATAAATTATTTCTTGTATCCCAAACATTTTCCCTTAACTTTTTATCAATCATTTTAGCAACCATTTCTGCAGCATTTCCTCTTGGACACCTTATAACTGGAACAGTGCCCAATGTAACAAATACAGAGAACAGACAGTCAACTATAATTTCCATTACAGATTCCATTTCAGTATCTTTCACTTCACCCCGATTAATCGCATGATATGATATAATATCACTATTTTGATGTCTAAGAATAAATAAATCATCCTCCAGTGATATAAAATTTAAATACTGATCAAATACTTTATGAATATTTGATACTACACCTCCAAGCAATGCAGCAGCTGCTAAATCTTCCATTTTTTGCCTGGTTATCGGTGATATAAAATTTAAATGATAAATATCATATAAACCATTTTGTAAATCTTGGCCGATCCTGCCAAGGTTTTCATCAGTAGGTGCACAAAAATAAATAGCTGGCACTTCAGGAATAGAATCTCTGTCGGAATGTAATTGCATATGAAGTGTAATACCAAGTTCTCTCAACTCTTTTACAGATATTAATGGTGAAATAATATCCTGTCCAAGTCTATCATAAATTAAAACTTTCCATACTGGTATTGCTTCTTCTAATTTCTGTTCTGGTTGATTCAAATTCAACATAAGTTTTAAAGCATTTATTTGCTTGTCACGAAGGCTCATCATGATTAATTCGTTTATTAAAAACTTTATTTTTTGAAATTTTCTTTCACTTTGATAAATATTTTAGATTTTATAATAATGATATTTTTAGAACGTCAATGATTAATATTTTGTGACTACATAGAGAAATAAAAGATTTAAAACACCATATTGCAAATAAATATGTCAACATTCAATTTCTAACTCTAAATTGTCAAAAAGTATCCATACGTTATAATAGTACTAGAACTTAACACTTGTAATATGGGACACATCAATAGTTTTCTAAAATGACACAAAATCTCTAGCATTACTGTTATTTTGCACAATATGTAATTAAAAACTACATAATTGTAATAAATTTAAAAAATATATAATTCTCTAATAATGCTATGTAAAAATAAGACAGTATAAAATTTTTTAAATTTATATATAAAATACAATATTATATGAAATAACTTGATATTTTTTATAGCTCATATTGGTAGCATTATGACCGGCAACAAAATGGCGATCTATCTTGCTGAAGAAGTACAGTTGAAGAAAAGTTCGATGTTAATATTAGGCTTTTGTGCGTGACATGTAAATAATAAACGGAATTGTGTTTATATAATATTAAAGGAACTGTTTTGACCTTTAAAGAATAGTATACATTGAATATTCCATGAGTTTTCGGCGATACGTTTCTGACAGCATGTCTGCAATGGCCGATGATTCCACTTCTCTGCCAAAAAGGCGTCAATTGGTAAACAAACCAAACATAACTTTCTTATTTAACGTCAATTTTAATTGTTTTATATAAAGTTCCTGCAAAATTTTGATAAAAAGTTTTCATTTCTTATGAATTTTATTATAGCGGGAAAGAACCCGAAAATTATATACAGATGATTGGACAATAGGCGATGAAGAAATTGAGGGTCGTAGGACTTTTCAACTTGATGAAAAAATCGAATGTGACAGATACAATCTTAGTAATTTCACCGGTTTATTCCGTGAAATGGCTGGTCCGGAACTAAATTTAGCATATTTGCAAAAACATGGTCTTAGCATACCATTACTCTTTAGAGATAAATCTGGATTGGGATTAAGAGTTCCCAGTTCAAATTTTACTGTAAATGATGTCAGAACTTGCGTTGGTATGTTTCATTTAATTAAACATATTTCATCTCATACATGGATGGTTCAGATATACTTACTGTAAATGATATTTCAGGTTCTAAAAGAACATTAGATGTAATGGATGTTAATACACAAAAGAATGAAGATATGACAATGAAAGAATGGCAAAAGTATTATGAAGATCCTAACAAAGAACGGCTGCTGAATGTAATTTCACTAGAGTTTAGCCATACCAAGTTAGAGAATTATGTACAATCACCTGAATTAGTACGATTGGTTGATTGGGTAGATGTTGTATGGCCAAGACATTTAAAAGAGGCACAAGTAGAATCCACAAATTTATTAGAAGATATGATGTATCCAAAAGTGCAAAAATATTGTCTCATGTCTGTAAAAGGTTGTTATACAGACTTCCATGTAGATTTTGGTGGAACCAGTGTCTGGTATCACATTTTGAGAGGTGGAAAGATATTTTGGCTTATTCCTCCTACTGAAAAAAACTTGTCACTTTACCAAGAATGGGTATTAAGTGGTAAACAATCTGATGTGTTCTTTGGAGATATGGTTGATAGATGTGGTAGGATAACTTTAACTGCTGGCATGACTTTGTTTATTCCAACTGGATGGATTCATGCTGTGTATACTCCTCAAGATTCTTTAGTATTTGGAGGAAACTTTTTACACAGTTTTGGTATTGAAAAGCAATTAAAAGTTGCACAAGTAGAAGAACATACTAAAGTACCACAAAAATTCAGATATCCATTTTTTACTGAAATGTTATGGTATGATAACTACCATAAAACTATTGAAATTTTCAAAAGAATTTTGTTGCATTATCTATACAGCGATTTTTTGTTATTTATTGCAGGTATGTTTTGGAGAGATATGTTCATGTTCTTCTAGGCAGAAGTCATTTGGATATTTCTGAATCACAACGTCAACATTCAGTGCCACAACACCACCAACATATACATCTAACTCCATTTGAATTGCATGGTTTAAAAGCAATAGTTATGTATTTACATTCACTACCTTCTACTAAAAAGAATGTGCCTGAGCTAATTCGTGATCCCGTTGCCTTAATTCATGATGTTCGATGTCTAGTTGAACAACACCGACATGATAATCCAGAAGCAGCTGTAACAGGAAATCCTGTTTTACCACCTCCACCATCTTTAACAATTGCTGATAGAGTATGTATAAAATATTAAATGTTATTAATGTTATCTATTTCTTCATGTTTATACATATTTCATTTTATTACTGTGTAACAGGAACGTTTAAGGATAACTAAGAAAAGTTTTACAAAGATTCAAAGACATCACTCGCAAGAAAAATCCGAAAGACCTTTTCCACGACGCAGACGTACTAGGTGTAAGAAGTGTGAAGCATGTACAAGAACTGATTGTGGAGAATGTATCTACTGTCACGATATGGTGAAATTTGGTGGAAGTGGTCGTGCCAAACAAACCTGTTTAATGAGACAATGTTTAAGGCCTATGCTTCCAGTTACTGCAGCTTGTAAAGTTTGTGGATTAGACGGCTGGGGTCAATCGCCTGGACCATTAATGGGTACTTATTCATTTTTTTTTTCTTCATTTTTAATACGCTATTAATTTATTGTTGATGTAATAAGCACATGACATTTCATTTTTCAATTTTTAATACAGGGAAGCCAATACCTACAGCTCCTTCGAGTTTAGTAGAGTGCTCAATATGCTTCGATATCGTGCATCCCGAGTGCATAGGTTTGGATTCCCAAACCATTACTGTTAGCGATGATTTACCGAATAGTTGGGAATGTCCCAAATGTTGTGAAAGCGGTCGAAATCTAGATTGTAGACCACGACAACTTAAGGCTCGTGCTCGAAAACTTTCCGTATCTAGTGCAGCTTCATCAGCACCCACAACAGATTCTGAAAGAGACGCCACACCAAGTAAACGTTCAAGATCCAATCCCAGCGATGTAAGTCCCCAAATGGAATCTGAAACGGTCTAAGAATATGAAAATTCATGGTTTCTATACAAAAAATTCCAGGCATGGAATGACAGAGAACCGGCTGAGGGTGAACAGCGAACAGCTTTGCGTACACAATTAGCTGTACAATTAACTGGTTCAAGTAGTAAGTCATTGAAGAGGCCCCACGTGGTGGTTAGGCCTGTTCCACTTTCACCTGTTCAAAAACCAGGGCCCGATTTTAATGGACAATCTTTAGCATATGACAAGACAGCATTACTTGCTATTTTTAGATTTTTAAATGCAAAGGACCTGGCGAATTGTGCCTTGGTTTGCCGTACATGGGCCAGATATAGCATAGATCCTAGTTTGTGGAGAAAATTGGATATGTCTCATTCCCATCTAACAGCATTACATTTAACTGGTATAATCCGCCGCCAACCGGAAAATCTGTCCCTTGACTGGACAAATGTTACTAAAAGACAATTAGCTTGGCTATTAAGTAGATTACCACAACTTAGAACATTGTCTCTAAAAGGTTGTACATGGACTGGAGTTTGTGCTTTAAGATCTTGCACTTGTCCACCACTTGTTACCTTAGATCTAAGTCATGTATCTGGACTAAATGATTCAAGTTTAAGAGAAGTTCTCAGTCCACCTACAGATTCTAGACCTGGTCTAATTGATAAAACTTCAAGATTAAAACATCTTAAAAATTTATCTTTGGCTGGATGTGATATAACTGATGTAGCTTTGAGATATATAGTTCAACATTTACCCTATCTCGAGACATTAGATCTTTCTTCTTGTGGTCGAGTTACTGATGCTGGTGTTGCTCAATTAGCAACTTCGCCAGCGCAAGCAGTAATGAACTTAGCATCACTGAATTTGGCAAATTGTAGATTACTTACGGAAGCAACGTTAGATCATTTGGCAAGATGTAAAGTGCTTAAACGTTTAGATCTCAGACATACAACTCAAGTCTCAACTCAGTCTGTAATTAAGTTTGCAGCAAAAAGTATTCATAATTTACACGTAACTGACGTTAAGTTGGTAGAAGAGAAAAAAATTATAGAAGCTAAAGTTACATGAAAAAATGTATTTCGTCTTTTTTCTTTTCTTTTTCTTTTTCTTTTTTTTTTTATTATTATTATTAAGTAGATTTTTTGCAAATGTAATTCGGTTACCGCGTAAAATCAGTGAGCATGATACATACAATGACATAGTACTGGACAATGACAATGAACATAATACTGGATTTCAAATAATTATTTATTATCTTAAAAATCCACTAGCATTATATCGCATCTTCATAATATAAGAAAATGGACCTGACTAGTATAGGATTTCTATTTGATAACATTCAGTTTTAGCAATGTCACTGCAATCTGGGCGAAGAAAAAAAAGTAAAACACTATTTATACCTAATTTAAAATGACCAAGAAATATTTTATTTTTTGCTTTTTTATTATCGTAAATGCTGTTTTCCTTTATGCCTGGATAGCTCTGTGCATTCTTCAAAAATAATTTAACGAATACAGGATATTAAATAAGTAATGCGGATTCTAAAAAAAATATTTATAAATGACTAATACAAAGCTGCACTAGTTGAATCTAAAATGTATCGAAATATAGCAATGGTTAGCATTCCTAATACTGAAATTCTACAAAAAATGTTAGGTTTCACTAACCTTGCCAAACAAGGAAATCATTACTCGCTTAATATTCAGTATTCTATGAAATCGAAATGTAATATTTACATCGATATGGAAATTTTTACTGTCGTTTTTGCTGAAATTGCAAGCGTTCAGTATTTATTTTGTAATTCTATATGGATGTAAAAATACAAATGCGGGTAAGAAAACAGTGTTAACATTTATAGTCTTACGAAAGACATGCAGATTAGCATATTGGCGCTACCATTCGCCAATATATTACTACGAAAGAAAGAAATATATTTATTTGTATGTGTGTTTGGATAAATATCTAATATGAGAATTATTAATTGACACGAAAGTTACAAAGCAGTCTGTTAATCATGCAAATTCACACCATAATTATAGGAACGAAAACGCGCAAACATATTCGATTATACTATTTCATAATATTAGATAGATAATTAACATTACGCTGAGAAACATGTATATTACACGATGTTTTAATTTTCGACCTCAGTTATGTATGTATATTGAATGTAATGTCGAAAATTTTTATGTAAACGAATGTACATATATGACTTCCTTTTTTCTTTTTTTTTTTTCAAATAAATTTACTTTTTCATTTCATTTTGTCAACGTGCATGTATGTACGTAATTTGTGAGTGATAATAATAATATCGAGCAATAAGAATTTAATTGCCTGCACTTTCAAACTAACGTTGAAGTATCTCACATTGTTTGTATCGTCTTGAAAATATCTTCTAGAAAACATGACTTGCTTGCTGCAAAATGCAACATATTTTTTCATTATGCTCGTTATTATCGAATTGTTTATGACAAATGAAATTTTTATAATTGAGACAGATTCTAGAAACACTTGAGATACAAATAATGTTTTAAACCTATAACACTATTGTATAGAATATGTAACTCAGAGAAAAACAACAGTAATCTGATTTTCAAATATAATTTTCGAATTTTAAAAATACCGCTATCATCTTCATTATCATTTATTTTCGACATTTCGCATTCCTTTTTTAATTGTACTTATTGGCGTAGCAGAAAAAAGAAGAAAGAACAGTTGTTCAATACGCATGTAATTGCAAAACAAGAATTTTATATATTTGTTAATAATAATAATATGTTCGTAATGCGAACCATGTACAAGTAAAGTATTTGCGACGCCAATGTAAGAAATATCTCTAGGGATTTTATCATACGTCATATATACGTTTCTTTTCAAACTACTTTGAATGGGTAGTTGGTTTTTTTTTTTTAAAGTCGTAATAAACATAATTATTTATGTTATCGTGTATGCTAAATAAAATATCGTCGTTGAAAAAATAAAGCTTGTACATTCTGGAAATAACCTGCTCGTCGATTAATTTCAATTACAAGCATGTGAGTGTTGTGTTGATTTTTAGCTTATAAATAACCTTGTATAAAACCTTGATGATCTAATAATAATAGTTTTTATTAAAAAATATTTAACAATATGATAGCAAAAAAAGCAATATTTGTAATTTCATACAAACATTTTTCACGTTTACGAAGAATTACGATATGTAGAGTTTATGTAGAAAATTTACATGATGTTTTTGTCTTTTGTTTTAATGTTTTTCCTTTAGTTCGTTACGCATGCAGAATATTTACCATAGATACTAAAGAAAACAAATTAGTGCGTTTACTGATCAATACTACAAAATAGGAGATCTTTATCTCTGTAGTTGATTGAACAAAAATTCTTCTTGAGTGTAAGATTTTCTACAAAAGGCGCTAGGTGAGTGTGCGTGTACAAGTTGCGTCTGGTTTTTCAGACATAAAATTTTCTATATTTCCATATGTAATACTTATATGTGTATGTATACAATTGTTCATAATCATTCTTAGATGTATGTTCTTACATTAACTTAACCTAATTCTGCTAACACTGAGTCAAGATCTTCTTGTAGAGTGAGACTAGCTTCTCGTTGTTTTGCTAAATCATCTTTCAATCTATCAACTTGTGCTTTAAGTAGATAGTTACCTTTTTTCAATGCAGCTAAACGCCCTTCGTGTTTCTTAGATTGTTTCTGTCAAAATACATACATATATATATATAATTTTTGTCTAACATTTTATTACATGACATTTTGTATATATTTATCTGGATATTTACCTGCAAAATATTTCTTTGTCCTTCCATAGATTGATCTTCATCTTCTGTTTCAGTTTCTTCGTCTTCAGATTCTTCAGATTCTGACTCTTCTGACTCAGTTTCTTCCTCCTCCTCTTCCTCTTCTTCTTCGTCTTTATCATCATCTTCACTTTCTGACATTAGCTTAGCCATTTTGTCAACTTCTTTCTGAAGTTGTTTATACTTCTTCTTTTCTTCTTTTAATAATTTCTGTTGTTGCTTAATTTGATCTTTCAATGCATGTCTTTCTTTTCTGGCATTAACCGCTTTGTCCCTATTTAATCAATTTTATCATTGATTTCTTTACCATGCAT